CACAAGCCACTTCCACTGATGCGAGCCCCCATCTGGCCCCCAGGCCTTCTGGCATAGCCAGAATTTCACACCTTTCCTAAGGGCCATGAGAGTGAGGGTACACCGCACCTCGGGAGGTAGATTGTTCCATAGAGCAGGGGTCTTTCAATTTAAGTGGAAAAACCCTAGTCGCGACCAAGATTGAATCAAATAACACTTAACAAGCTGGAAAAGTAAGGTTAACTGGTGACCAGTAAACTACCAAGTAATATGCAATCAATGGATAAAATCCTTTCCTTAAACACTTAAATTTGCTTCCCTGGTGTAATTCCTATGATTTGGTGGGAACTACTTTGAAAGTAGTTTAAACAATTTGGGAAACAATCTGTATTAATACAACATGGGCATTTTAAAACAAAAGCAACTATTTAACGTTCCTGAAATAAATCTAAACAGATCTAAGACTAAATGTAGTCTTAATGTCATGTCACCCTTACTCAAAATAATCAAATCTAATCTAACCTTACTCAAAATAATCACTGTAGTCAAAATCCACCTCAATCTCTCCTTCAACCTCCAAACTAGTCATCCAGCTCAAATCAATCCAGAAAGGCCAGACTGCGAAGTGGGCAATTAAAAAACAAAAACACAACTACCAGCCTGAGATTGTGTTTTCATCATCTCATTAAGACTGTCCACACTGAATTTCAAAGCTTCCAAGTAAAACTAATCAAATGTTTTGGCTTTGTACAGTAATAGCCATAATAGTGGGCCTCTATTAAAAGACAAGATAGGAAGGAGAAGAATGTGGGGAACCAATTTCTCACATTACAGTTATTTGTTTGATTGACGACAATACAGTCCATCCCAAGAGTTAGACCTCCCAGGTCCTGCCTCAACACTCAACTTTTGCACAAGGATCCTGGCTTATTCCCTTTGTCTCCCACCACCACCACCTCCTTAACCTAAGGCTGACCATGCAGCTCAGAACAGCCTCAGGCTGAACCCTGATCACTGTCAGGGCTGCTTTGGGGCCCTGGCTGTTCTTCTAATTTTTTTTTTTTTTTGGTTTCTTGGCTGCATTTACATCCCACCTATGCTGCAGGAACCAAGCAGTAGAAGTTCTCCTGGGCCAAATGTGTCTTCCCAGCAGCCCTTTGAGGTAGGTTAAGTTGAGAGACAGGGATTGGTTCAAAGCCCTCCCCCCCCACCTGGGGAGGGGTTTTGAGGTCTAATAGGATTTTAACCTGGGCCTTCCCCAATCCTCCTTCATTGCTCTGTCCTCAGAGGAAGGGAAGAGAGAAGGAAAAGACAGGGAGGCTGACTTTTCATTCCTTCAGAGTAAATCCGCCTGTCAGATCTCCTGCGCGCGGAATGTTGCATAATCAGCACTAAATAAAGTATGGTTCTAATAGTAGGAAAGTTCAGAGAGTTTCTTCCCCCCCCCTCCCCCCTCTCATTATTTTATTACTTTGGAAAGCTTGAGAGCTCCAACTGTATAAATGCCAATAACTTCCCAAGTTTTTTAAGGCTCCTGCTGAAGTAAGAGATCAGATTTTAGCAAGTGCTTTGCAGGCAACCAACCAAAAGCCTTCTGATTCACTAAAAGCAACGAGTGGACAAGAGAGGGAGGGGTCTGATAAAGTTGGCGAAGGAGGAGGGAGGATTAACTTCAGTTACCGCACAAATTAAAACGAGAAGAAGGAAAAAAAGGGGGGCGGCTCCTTCTTTTCCTCCCCCTGCCAAGTGCGCCCATTTGCCGCGCGCAAACGCCTTTCCTTCCAACCGCAAACTCATTTCCAGCCAAGCTCCGAGAGTCGCTTTCTGCTGCTTTTGCTCTCGCTCTAGCTCTCACTTCCCTTCAGAGTCCCGTTCCCGTGTTGTTTTTTCGTACTGTAACTGGATCGGGTTTTTTTCCAGGAAGGTAAGGCTACGGCGCCGCTTTCCGGCTCGCGAGGTGGCTCAGATTTCCCCGAGTTGAATCCGTGTGGACGGGATCAGCTCCTTCCCAACGCGAAAAGACCGCAACAGAAAGGCTGGCAAACAGGTGCATTCCGGGCGCGACGGACGCCGGAGCAGCGAACGGGGAAGGTGCGCCCGGCAGAGCCTTCAGTTCCCGCCGCATCGGGGCTCCTTAGCGGCGCGCGGGAAGCAGCGACGCAAGGCGGCTGGGGCAGGCCTCCAGGCGCGCAAGGCACCTGCTCTGCCAACTCCGGAATAGTCCAGATCGCGAGGCGAGGCGAGGCGAGGCGAGGCGAGGCGGGGTGGGGCGGAGCTGCTCGCACGTGTTGCGTTTACCCCAGTTTCTAGCTGCGGAAAAGCTTCTCCCCCTCACGCACACCCTCGCTTAACAAAAGAAAGCACAGCTAAAAACGCCTCTTTAGAGTATCCTGGAAAAAAATGGGGTCGACTCCACCAAACTACAGTACCCACCACTGTACTTCCCCCCCCCCTCCACGTCACGTCCCTCCCTTGTATCAAGCATCGTACGACAGGTAGAGATACGCGGGGAGTAACACCGGCCTTTCTAAGTTCCTTTTCCAATCTCTGCTGTACGG